GCAAAGTTGGTATCCTTATTTGAACCTTTTCTCTAATTTTGTTCAAAATAAATTGACATATATGTCTCTTTATTTTGATTTCTAGGATGCATTAATCAGCACATTTGTTGTTAGTTGGGTTTGAGAAACAATGTTAGCATTTTTTTCATGATTATATTGTATTGTCTAACTTCTAGCAAAAAATACACAGTGCTTAGCTTACAGAGGTTTGTACCACTGTCCTTAAAGACTGCCTTTTAGTATTCATTGTGGTCCAAGCAGGCTTCTGTTGAAATTTGACTTTAAAGATTCCACCTTCATGCAATAGTTGTGCTCTGTTCTTAAAATATTCCAAATTTAACTCATAGACACACATGAATTGGCTATAAGTTCTGAAATTGATGTTGAATGCTTTGCCTAGGAAGAAAATTCTCTTGGAAATTTAAAGAAATGCTTCTTTCTGAATTCTTAGATCACATTTTACACTGGTGATATATTTTCTTGGTTTCCTCCATTGACCTGTCTATTTGCTCTCTTCAATTTCATAAACATTTTTCAGGCTTTGGAGTCTTCTGGTACCTGGGTTATTGAATTTCGGGAGGAGGAGAAGACTGCTTGGCTGAGAGGACTTGTTCAAGCCACATATCAAGCTTCTGTATGTTTTCAATACCAAGTTTCCTAATAATTCATTTTATTCATCGTTCTTCCAAGTGCTCATCACTAAGAGTCCCTATACAAATGGTCTATTTAGGCTCCTGCATCAGTTGATCTGCTCAGAGAAACAAGTGATGGTATTAGTGAGTCTGATGATCCTCGAAGAACAAGTTCAAAGACTGGTGACATTGTAATTAATGGGGCAGTGGTTGAGACAAAGTTATGGATATATGGAAAGGTTAGTGGTTGTTTAATTTCTTGAACAGTTGAGGCTATGGATTGAATTGTTGCTCAAATTATCTTCAAGATCCTCGTGGTTGGGGTATTTAGGAAAGTGTTGCTCTACGATTTTTCTAAATATTTCCTGATTGTGACATCCAATTTTTGTTTCTATTTTGGTACAGACTGAGGATGAAGCCAAAGAGAAATGTGAAGAAAGACTAATTCTTGAGGTTATTGCCTGTGGGGGAAAGGTTAGGTTTGCTATTAAATATTCTTTAATGATGGTGATTTTTAATTCTCTTCTGTGGAGTTAGATTTGATAGAGTTGAAATTGTTGTTGGGATATGAGAATTAATCGCATGGTATGTTCATGATAAGTGCCTTCATGTTTCTCATGCTTATACCTGGAAGGGAGTGAGTTATTGGAATGAATAATGTCACACTCCCTACTAGTCCTCATTCCTGGAATCAATCTAATACAATTTAAAAATGGTGTAAAAATTCTGTTGTCTTCTGGCTTTTGGGGAATAATTTTTTACTAACATAAGAGATCTAGTCAAATTGAAGCTAGTTTGGCTGCTGTTAGAGTTTTGGTAATAATATTGCCATTTCGATTCATTTTGAACTTTGCTAAGCAGTAGATTTCCACTGCATTTGGTTGGTTGAGAGGAATGAATAATTCTTTTGGATTGCGGAGAAGAGTTGTGATTATTATTTGGTTATTTGTGTGGTATAAGGAAATGATTTTTATGATTGTTTTCAATTTTTGGGTTTATAGAATGAGATGCAGAATAATGAATGAATAATTGGTCAAAGACTAAACTTCCCTTTCATTATAAATCTATCATGCCTTTCATTTTTCAAATGATTATTAATTCATGGTGAGTGGACTTCTAGGATCTCTTTGTACTAAATTTATGTTTTCTTTTTTTTTTTGGTGAATAAATAAATAATATTAAAATTTTAAAAATAAAAACAACTATCAGTTGATTTTTTCCCCTATCTCTTCTTTCCTTAATTGCTTGTTTTGTTCCTCTTTTTTCTTTGTTGGTGATTGCTGATGGTAATGCAAGATTGTGTTACTGGGGACTGGCCTTCTATGCCAGATCCAGCATTGGTGTTGGATCTGGCCTGGGCAGGAGAGAAAAGAGGTTCTTTTTGCCAGGGATGCTTGAATGGAAATCCTTGGCTACTGATTTGCTTTTATGGCCAAGATACAGTTGCCAATGATGCTGTTCTTGCATCTCTGACGGTCAGAATTTCCCTTCTTGATAACCTCTTGCTTTCGATTTCCTCCTTTCTTCTAGGGATAGTTTTAGTTCTAAGAAAAATCAATGGAGAATAATGAGAACTTATTCCCAAACTTTTTTCTTTTGTTCAATTACTTGTTGTGCAGTAATTTTTTTTAATGTAGTGGACTGTTTTAAAGTGAATTATAATATTTTTGCTATCATTTGGGTTAGAGAATAAGTATTCATTTTTATTTTTTATGGAAAACCAACTCTATATTTCCTTGCTCTTTTTTTACCCTACGTGTATCCTCTGTTAGAGTGGAGGAAAGAGGAAGAGAGGCTATGCTCAGTGCTGATGCCAGAACAGCATAGGGAGTGATTGAGTATGGTGTTGGAGACTATTCTTTCCCTCCCTGATTCTTTTTCCATAGCTGGTGATGTAATATTGACCCATGGCACTGTTCATGTGTTGTGTGCTAACTGTCATATCTCATTGTTTTGCCTGCTAAAGTGTGGTGTTGTTTGTTATTCCTTTTTTTCTGCCCTTTTCTCTTTTAGTCATTGACTACTTCATCTGTTTCTCATGTTATTGCTACTTAATGTTTTTCCTTTGGTTTAACATGCAGGTACACATGATAAGTTGTGAGAGTGACCTAATGGTCAAGACAAAACTGCATTCTTTACAAATTAAGGATGAACTTCAAGGTCGTCTGTCTGGGAATCCACAGTACCTAGCCTGCTCTGTGCTGAAGAATGAGAATTTACTTGAATCTCCAGTTGCTTCTGAGTCTCATGAGAAAGAGATGTCTGTAGAGCACCTGGATGATGAAGATACTTTTACGGATGCTCTACCAGAATTTGCCTCTTTGTTGCAACATGTAGATCCTGATAGATTTGACCCTGCTGGAGCCTTAATTTCTGAAGAGGAGCTGATACAAGGAAAAGGATTATCTGGAGAGATATTTTATGAAGCACAGGGTGGTGATTATTTGGATTTTGTAACTGTTACCTTCTCAAGTAGGAGTTCCTGTTCGCCTGTTTATAATGGTATAGATACCCAGGTACCTAACATGAACATCATATAATTTTTATGTACTGAACTTGCTCCTAATCTCAATTCTGACTGATTTGACCCAAAACTTTCAGATGAGTATCCGAATGTCCAAACTGGAGTTCTTCTTTAACAGACTCACTTTAGTTGCTTTGATCAGTTTTGCCTTGGATCTAAGCACTGTGAGTTACTTGGAGAGTAATACAGAGATAAACAAAACATCAGATGATAAAGAAAAGTCTGAAGAAAGTGGTCGAATTGAAGGATTACTAGGGTATGGTAAAGACCGTGTAGTATTTCGTTTGAATATGAACATAAATAGTGTTGCAGTGTTTCTTAACAAGGAGGATGGATCTCAGCTTGCAATGTTTTTGCAAGAAAGTTTCCTATTAGATCTTAAGGTATGTCAGGCATTAAAATCATTTGGTCTCTTCGGTGTTCTTCTGTTATGTTTCATGTTTTTTGCTGCTTTGAATTCAGTTATTATGAGCATCTAACATATATCAATAGGTAATAGGCAAGCAGGCTCAACTTGAATAGAAGACCACTGACCACCACAAGTCCCAAACCAAATGGATGTGGAATAACATAATCCACCTAGTAGCGAGTAGCTACTATTAACTTCAATTCATTGCTGTTTTTGTAAAGTTTTGAAACTGCATTTCCTTCTGGCCAAAAGAAAAGAACTGCATTCCATTTGTGTATCAGTATCATTGGATATATTCTGTTTGGTTGAACTACGATTTTACATTAATCAATATTTGGGTTCTTTGCTTTGTCTGTCTTGATCTATTTGTTTTGTCAAGGTCCATCCCGGTTCTCTTTCCATTGAAGGCGCACTTGGAAATTTCAGACTCCGTGATATGTCTCTTGCAGCGGATAACTGTTGGGGATGGCTATGTGATATACGTAACCCAGGGGTTGAATCTCTTATCAAGGTATGCTATTTTCTGTTTGATGGCTTATTAGTCATTATGGATTCCTATCATTGTACTAACTTGTATGTTTTTCTCTTTTTATCTTTTTCAGTTCAAATTTACTTCTTACTGTGTGGGAGATGTTGACTATGAAGGATATGATTACAGCTTGTCTGGTCGGCTTTCTGCTGTTCGCATTGTTTTTCTCTATAGGTTTGTTCAGGAGGTATGTTGAGATACAGATGTCCCATTGCTGGCATCAGCATTTTATCCTAATCTTTTAATGAAGCTTCCTTTTAGTCCCTAATATTCTTTTTTTTTTTGGTTCTAGTTGAATCACAAGCTCTTTATTTGTTGCAATTACCCCTCTGTCAATTTCTTTTGTTAATACTTGATGGTAATGCTTGAGTGGCATCTTGTTGGTTCCCCTCAAGGAGTAAGTTAGGCCTTCTTTTTAGGATTGAGAACTAAGTTAAATCACTTTTAAAGATTAGGGAGTGAGACTATAATTTATTCAAAAACAAATCTTAGGTGCTGGGACATCCATGTGTATGCCCCATATGGACATCTTCATTGAGCACTTATAGAGAATGAATGAAATAACCTGATAGCAATAAAGTAAAGAGGTGGATATTCGATTGTGGCAAAATAAAGATTTGGGGGCAAGTTGAAATTTAATGAGTGTAATGTGGATAATTATGTAATTTATCTGATTTTCACTGCATTGATTTATACTTTTGTGTAAAATGAAGAGCATGTTTGGTTCAGCTTCCAAGTGCTTCAACTTTTTGACACTATTCATGTTTCATAAGTTTAAATTTCCCTCTTAAAAACTTACATTTTTAAACTTTTTTTTAACCTTAAAAAGACCTCAAATAGTAAAAGCTCAAAAGCTTCAAATCCAAACTTTTCATAAACTCCCTTTTTACTTGTTACTCAATTTTTACTCACTTTTTCCTATCTCTAAAAGCAACTCTTAAATTTTCCCTCCAATAAAAAATTAAACTTATCACTCATGAATAGTACAAAAAAAGTAAAAGCTCTTACAAGCTAACCCAAACATGCTCGAAATGAAGTTTGCTACTCTTGAAATTTTTAACACCCTTTTCTTCTCCAGATAACAGCTTACTTCATGGAACTTGCTACTCCACATACAGAGGATGTAATAAAACTTGTTGACAAAGTTGGAGACTTTGAGTGGCTAGTTCAGAAATATGAGATTGAAGGGGCTGCTGCATTGAAGCTTGACCTCTCGCTTGACACTCCGATAATAATTGTTCCTGGGAATTCAACAAGCAAAGAGTACTTGAAACATTTTATTAGCTTTTCTTATATAATTCTTTGACTTTTAAAGTTTTTGTTCCTGATTTGTCTCTGAAATATTGAGCAAACAAATGTAGTTTCATTGAAAGTAAAATCTTGAAACTTGGGTGGGTGTTTTTCCTGCGTTCATATACAGTAGTTTAATTTTGAATTTATCTCAACTTATATTTGAAAAGTTCATCTATAGAATTACTGTAGTTTACTGCAACTATAAGTCATTGGGAAAATGATCTCAGCTTTGCTGGGAAGTACCTTCAGGTCATCTGTTTCTTGATTTATCATATCCTGGAAACATTCTTACTTTTTGTTCTGTTCTCTTTTGTCTCCATTTCATTTGACACAAGTTTAACATAGTTTGAATCTGGATTTTAGTAGGCTCTATTTTGTGTATCCTTTCCCTCCTTAAATTCCTTTCCTTGCTCTCTCTTATTACTTGAGAAGTTGATTATTTTCTTGTCCTTTTCACTGCAAATGTAAACTTTGTGTGATTTGTATTCTGGAGAGTGTATGAATATCTGTGACATGGATGTATCTTGTTGTTGTTGCAGTTTCATTCAATTTGATCTGGGTCAGCTGAAGGTGACAAATGAAATAAGTTGGCATGGATGCCCTGACAAAGATCCTTCAGCTGTCCATGTAGATGTTCTTCATGCGGAGGTATATTTTTTAGGATTCTATTAGACCAGTATTTTTTAATGGCCAAATACATTTAGTCTGTTTGAAATTTGCAGATTCAAGGAGTAAACATGTCTATAGGTATCAATGGTACTTTAGGTACTCCAATGATTCATGAAGCCAGGGGACTTGATGTTTATGTGCGTCGGAGTTTGAGGGATGTTTTCAAAAAAGTCCCTACATTATCTCTGGATATTAAGGTGATCTTTGCATCTGATATATTGGTGAACTGTGTGCATTACACTTTTAATCCAGTTTTCTATCGAAATATAGTACGTGGGCATTGATGTTGGGACTGCCACTCTTCTGGCTGTTGTATGCATTGGATTATATGAAATTCACACTGGTTAAGATATCATTTTCCTTCCAAATTGAACTTCCTGAATGGACCAAGAATTCATTCTCTTAACCTGCGTGAGGCATCCTTGCTTCTTCCAACTTGGCAATTTGTAACTTTTCCTTTGCAGTGGTGTAAATGACCATTCCTAGGTTGTTTATCTCGGTCTTGCATTTGCTGTTAACTCAATTAAGCTACAGGATGTATTTGCTTGTCATGGCAAGTTGTTTAGGCTCAATAATTTTTGCATTGATGTTAAAGTACTTTCCTTGCTTCCAGTGTTTCTCCTACTGGTTTGAGATTTATTTTTCCTGTTGATTTGGTTGCTTGGTCTAAATTGGAGTATGTTTGTACCAATACAAAGAGCTTATTGGTGGTTTGTCATTTTATAACATCTAAGATAAATATCTTACCCCAAAATTTTGTTCCTTCTTTTTAATATTTTTCTAACTTTTTTTTTTTTTGTAATATTTCAAAATTTGTTTCATTTTATATGATCAATTATCAATTTATCAGTGATCTCTAATGTTAAAATTTATAATTTTTTGCCATTTTGGTTTCTTTTTTCTTAAAATTTTCCCTCTTTATTTCAAGAAATAATTATTTTATGAAATATCTTGATTATTTATAGTACTTTTGATATTTTAGTACCTTGATGTTTACACTTTTTCCTGAAGTTTTTGGTTGCTTGCTGTATCATAATTCTTCAGTTAATGTTGTCCATGATTTTTGTGCAGGTGGGTTTCTTGCATGTTGTGATGTCTGATAAAGAGTATAATGTTGTTTTGAATTGTATGACCATGAATTTAAGTGAAGTTCCAAGGCTTCCTCCAAGCTTTCGGGGTAGCGAATCTGTCTCTAAAGATACAATGCGGCTGCTGGTTGACAAGGTCAACATGAATGGTCAAATGCTATTCTCACGTAGTGTAACCATAATAGCAGTTGAAGTTGGTTATGCCCTGTTGGAGCTGCATAATGTTATTCTTGAGGATTCACCTTTAGCTCATATTGCTGTGAGTTCCTCAAGTTCCTATTGGTGTTTATGTTTTTAGGGAATACAGGTTTACTTTATTTTTCATTTTTTATTTTTATTTTTGTGCCTATGGTATCATATGTGTTTATCTGTATTTTTTCCTTGCTTCTGCAGTTGGAAGGTCTTTGGGTTTCATACAGGATGACTTCATTGTCCGAAACAGATCTGTATGTAACCATTCCCAAATTTTCTATTCTGGACATTCGCCCAAAGACAAAGCCTGAAATGCGCCTCATGCTTGGATCATCTACGGATGCTTCCAAACAAGCTTCTGCTGGAAACTTTCCCTTTTCAAATAAGTCCAGTTTTAGCGGAGCAAATTCCAAAGTTGGTTCTGTCTTGGATCTACCAATTTCAACAATGTTTTTGACAGACTATAGATGGCGAGAATCTTCCCAATCACTTGTACTTCGGCTTCAGCAGCCTCGATTACTTGTGGTACCAGATTTTCTTCTTGCTGTAGCTGAGTTTTTTGTGCCTGCTCTGGGAGCAATAACAGGAAGGGATGAAACAATGGATCCAAAGAATGACCCAATAAGTAAGAATAGCATAGTTCTCGCTGAGCCTGTCTATAAACAGAGTGAAGATGTGGTGCACTTGTCTCCAAGTAGACAGTTGGTTGTTGATGCCCTGGGCATTGATGAGTACACATATGATGGTTGTGGAAAGACTATCTTTTTAAATGAAGGAAATGATACGAAGGAATCACATTCAACAAAATTTCGTCCAATTATAATTGTTGGATGTGGCAAGAAGTTGCGGTTTGTCAATGTGAAAATTGAGGTATTTATGCTTCTTTCCATTCATGTTTAATATGGCTATATGGGCTGTCTGACACTGACAGTTGTTTCATGCCTTTTCTTTCTGTTTCTTTTATTCTTTTGGCTCACATATATTTAAATGAATAACACTTTGATGTTGCTTGTGTGTTTGTGCTTGCATGCATTTGTATCCATATGTTGGCATTGCGTAGTTCTTGACGTAGAAAATAGTTTTGAAAATCACATTTTGATGGAAATGCATTGCATTTAACAACTATTTATTACTTGGCCAACAAAAAAGAAAAATGTGTTACCACATAGATAATGATGGTTAACTTTCAGTTCTTACCATGGAAGAATCTGTACAAATTCTAGCCATAACTGGCCTGAGCATTTATTTTTACTCAGGTAGAGATTTTAAAAAAAAAAAATTATATTTTAGGGTTCTAAACATAGAATGTTCTAGTCTTGATTCTGTTTCATAGAATACTGACTTATTTTTTCTGATTTTTTGGTGTGCATTTGAGGTGTTTGTCATATGATGTTTGAATATTTTGGAGGGCAAAAAGTTGTACTCAATAGTCATGTTATAGATTGCTGAAAATGGGAATGTATGCTTTTGTATTTTTCTGATATAGGATGAGAAAGAGAACTTTTTTTGTTATTACTGTTGCTGTTATATTTTCTATTTCTCTATAATTTCTGTATGTTTCAGCTTCTAATATCATAGATAACAAATATAACATCATCTATTCTCTTTTGATCAGAATGGTTCTCTTTTGAGAAAGTATATGTACTTGAGCAATGAAAGCAGCTATTCAGTCTCCCAAGAAGATGGTGTTGAAATTATCTTGATTGATAAACGCTCTTCTGATGATAAGAGAATTCCTGATAATGTGATTGAACTATCAGGCATGGAAGTTGCTCCATATTTACAAGATGATCCAAATGTTGTGCGGAGTTTCACTTTTGAAGCTCAGGTAGGTGTCCTGCTTATGTTGGATCCTTGCCCATATAACTGGTTGCTTATACCTACTTTCTGTTTATTTTTCACTAATTTCACTTTTATTTTTTATTTTTTTTCTTCTCTGTTTCTCAATTAGAAAAATATGATATTGTCTACTAATTATACAGCAAATTGCACTTAGTTTAAATTATTTGCATATGGTTAGGTTGTTTCTCCAGAGTTCACCTTCTATGACGGTGCAAAGTCCCCTTTGGATGATTCCTCTTATGGTGAAAAGCTCTTGCGTGCAAAAATGGATTTAAACTTCATGTAAGAGTATTGCCACTATTTCTTATTGCATTTTTTTTCTCGTAATCCAATCATTTTTCATTCTGCTGTACATTAGTAGGTAGTCATTACCTTTATAATAAAAAAGGGTAACCCTTAAAAGGGGGACAGTACTTAGTTTGTTACCTGTGAAGGGAAGAGAGCTGCTGGAAATAGAAACTATCCAATTTGAATAGTGTTTCCACATTCCTGGACACTTTTGGATGGGTAGAGTCTTTTTTGAGACGGAGAATCCTTTTTCATTCCACTTTTTCCTTCTCTTATTCATTCATTCCCAACGTAATGAAGGAAACTCCTCCCCCCTCTCCCCCACCCCCTTTTATTCCCACCTTTTCTTATAGATATTCTGTTTGTGAAAGTAATCACTTTATCTTTTCTCCTTGATTCTTTTGATTTCAAAATTGAAGTGGAAGAGTCACATTTATTGTTTGAAGAAATGGTATCAAAGTTTCAGGATGGTAATTTTATTAAAATTTTTTAATTATGTTTTGAAAGTGAAATATTTAATATCAACATATCCCATTGTATGCCTCAGTATTTTCAAATTCCAGTCTTCCCCTTAAGTTTATGACTTGATATGCTGTAGCAATAGAGTTCTTCAATTTCCTTTTACCTAGGAAATGTAGCCTGCAAGCCAACATCTTACATTATGACATAATCCACTATAATGTTTCTTTGGGCCTTTCTTTTCCCTTTGCTCCAGTTTGGTTACCATAGTTCTTCAACATGCATATTCTTGGAGTAGTTCATCAACTTTATCAATAAATAACAAAAGAAACTGTAGTTGTTTTCCCCCTCTCATAACTTCTCAATATGAATTCTGCAATGCATTATGTGGAACTAAAAACATGTATTACCACAAGGATTGTCTTTAACTTTGTTTCCGCTATGTGGTTCTTGGAAAATATCCTTGTGCAATTTTAGTGGAATGATGCAATTTTGAAAGATGAGCTATAGAACCTGCTTTTAGTTATGCCATTGTTTGTTCATTTTTGGATAGGTATGCATCAAAGGAAAATGATACATGGATTCGTGCCCTGGTGAAGGATCTGACGGTTGAGGCTGGTTCTGGGCTTGTCATACTTGACCCAGTGGATATTTCAGGGGCATATACTTCAGTCAAGGAGAGAATTAATATGTCTCTGATATCAACTGATATATGCATCCATCTTTCACTGAGTACAATTTCTCTTCTGCTTAACCTTCAAAGACAAGCTGCAGCAGCATTACAATTTGGAAATGCCACTCCTCTGGCTATTTGCACAAATTTTGACAGAATTTGGGTGTCTCCAAAAGGTTTTCTTCCTCTCAAGTTTTTCGATGCTTCATCTGATTATTATTATTATTTTTTATAAACTTTTGTTCTTCTGTTTCCAACCTTTTTGTTCTAACCTGCAGAAAATGGGCCTCATAATAATCTTACCATTTGGAGGCCTCAAGCTCCATCAAACTATGTTATATTGGGAGATTGTGTGACTTCAAGGTAATATACTTTTATAACTTGGGACACCTTATTCATGTTTTTCTAGTGCCGCAAATGTTTTGTAGTCAGATTAGGGATATATGTATCTTTTTATTAGTTGTGTTTGGAGGTGTTTTTGAGGGGTGATGAGGAAGGTTGGATAGATTCAAGTAATTTGCCTAAAATTACTTTGGAAGCATTGAATTATGTCTCCTTATGAGAGAACAAACAATCAATAAACGTTTTCTCTTTAATTTAAAATCTATTGCCATATATATTACTCAATAGTCCTGACTTTTTTGCTTTAAGCTAGAAACCATTTTGATGGGTAAGCTATGGCTTGACGAATTAAGGAGTTTTGGGATTACAATACAAGAAAGGTTCATGCTTTAATCTGGTTGTGGTGGTCTATCAAGGCAATTAGATTGTTGGATTTGCTAATTGGTATAGTCCTGTTTAGATTAAGTTGGGTTTTTTGACCTCTTTTATTCAAGCTGGTGGTCTTCTCCTGTAGTCAATTGGTTTTGGTCTGGATGCTTTAACAAGTTCTCACATATGGGATGATGACTCCTTTTTAGGTTCTTACCTATTATGTTTGACAAGGAAGGGCGGGTCCAGTGGGCCCTGCCTTTCGCTGGTTCTTGGTTATTACAAAAGAAAAAAAAAAAAAAGATAAAAAGAAGAGATTATTATGATACACTAGGGTGCAGTGCAACGTGTCTTCAAAGGAAGTGTTTCTTATTCTTTCAAGTAACTTACTTTTGTGCTCTTTTTTTTACTAATGTTCCCGGGGGAAGTTCTGTTCAATTGCCATTTAATAGTGATGAAAGCACCCAATGCAATATATAAATTGTTTCTCATATTACTAATGGTACTTTCAAAACTTCTTTTTGCATCCATTTTGTAATCACATATATTATATGCTGTTCTCTTTTATTGTGTATCTCCAGGCCAATTCCTCCTTCACAGGCAGTGCTAGCAGTAAGTAATACATATGGGCGAGTGAGGAAGCCTCTTGGTTTCAATCTTATTGGCTTTTTCTCTCATGTCCTGAAATTCAATGGAAGCGAAGATCATTCTAATCTTGATAATGATTGCTCTCTATGGATGCCCATTGCTCCCCCAGGATATACCACAATGGGTTGTGTAGCAAATAGAGGAAAAGAACCACCACCAAATCATACTGTTTATTGCCTGCGTTCTGACCTTGTAACATCTACAAGTTTTTCAGAATGCTTGCTAAATTCCCCTTCGAATCAATGGCTTTCTTCTGGATTCAGTATATGGCGATTGGAAAATGCTCTTGGATCATTTCATGCACATTCTTCAACTGAATGCCCTTCAAATGAGATGTGTTGTGATCTGAGTCATCTTCTTCTCTGGAATTCATTTCGGTCTTACTCATCATTTACGGAATCCCTCTCAGATTTTTCTGTTGGCCGTGATCTTGCAATTCATCAAACAAGTGACCAGAATGCTGGCTCATCTGGGTGGGACTTTCTCAGGGCAATCTCAAAAGCAAATAATTGCTACATGTCAACCCCTCACTTTGAGAGAATCTGGTGGGACAAGGGTAGTGACCTCCGCCGACCAGTGTCAATTTGGAGGCCCATCTCACGTTCTGGTTTTGCCATAGTTGGTGATTACATAATTGAAGGGTTAGAACTTGTCTTTAGATATTTCTTTGCCTTAGAATTTGGTCATTAAAATAAATTTTCTTCTTTGATTCCTTTTTGGCAATTTGTTAATTAATATTTAGTATTACCTCTTCTGCTTCTCAGCCTAGAACCTCCTACTTTGGGCATAATATTTAAGGCAGATGATCCAGATGTCTCTGCAAAGCCAGTGCAGTTTGCCAAAGTTGCCCACATTGTAGGGAAAGGTTTTGACGAAGCTTTCTTCTGGTACCCAATTGCACCTCCTGGTTATGCTTCTCTGGGATGTGTTGTTTCCAGAACAGATGAAGCCCCATCTGTTGATTCATTTTGCTGCCCAAGGATGGATCTTGTTAACCAAGCCAATATTGATGAGGGGCCCATCTCAAGATCTTCAAGCTTGAAGGCATCCCAGTGCTGGAGCATTTGGAAAGTTCAAAATCAGGTTGGGATTGCCCACTGCCATCTTTCTCTATTTATCATTTTTATTATTATTATTTTTTCTCTAGTAACTGACTATTGCGGATGTGAGACAAATGAATTCAACAAAAGCATCCTCATAATTTGAACTCTCAACAAAGAAAGTTGAAGTTTTCTATTTTCCTGTCTAGCTCTTGGGTCCTTATTCTTTGAATTTTACTGGATGACTCGTGGTGATATTTGTGGCCATCCTGTGTCTCTGCAGGCATGTACTTTTCTTGCACGCTCTGATCTGAAAAAACCATCACCTCGGTTGGCATACACTATTGGTGATGCTGTAAAGCCAAAGACACGGGAGAATGTGGTTGCTGAGATGAAACTAAGATACTTCTCCCTAACTGTTTTAGACAGCTTACATGGAATGGTATGTTTTCCAAGATTGGAGTCCATTGACAATATATTTTCTGTTTTATGATAAATTTGGGTCCTTTCAGATGACACCACTCTTTGATGTAACAATCACAAATATCAAGCTGGCAACACATGGCCAACTAGAGGCAATGAATGCAGTCCTCATTTCTTCTATTGCTGCTTCAACCTTCAATACACAATTGGAAGCATGGGAGCCCCTGGTGGAGCCATTTGATGGAATATTTAAGTAAATTCTTTATTGCATCACCTATAATTTGGGTTTTTTACAAATAATTGCACAATCTTGACATAGATTTCATTTCCTTTGCTAATCATCTTTTTTTCCTCTTTAAAGGTTTGAAACATATGAGACCAATGCCCATGCACCATCCAGACCAGGAAAGAGAGTGCGTATTGCTGCTACTAATATTGTGAATATAAATGTCAGTGCTGCAAATCTTGAAACTTTTGTAGAGACCATTCTTTCATGGAGAAGACAGTTAGAGCTTGAACAGAGAACAACCAAGTTAATCAAGGTCAAACGAACTTTGGTTTGTTTTAGTTCCATGAATATTTAGTTAATTTACAAACTGGATCAGGATGTATGCTTTCCAAAAGCCTAAATAGCTGCTACTTTTTCAGGAGGCTGATCGGCATTCTAGACACGGAGAAGATCAAACCTTTTCTGCACTGGATGAAGATGATTTTCAGACTGTAGTAGTAGAGAATAAACTTGGGCATGATATGTTTCTAAGAATGGTTGAGCAGAACTCTGATATAGTTGACCAATTACATCATGGTGACTGTGCTTCAGTTCGGATTCCACCTGCAAGGTTTTCAGATCGCTTAAATGTTGCAGATCAGACTAGGGAATCGCGTTGTTATGTTGCTGTACAGATTCTTCATGCTAAGGTTTTATTGGTTGTACTTGCTATATCTTATGTTCTTTATTGTTTGATTACTACCTTCTGAACAAAATTATGGCTTGTTTTGCTTTTGGCAGGATTTACCCATATTGGATGATGGCAACAGCCATAACTTCTTTTGTGCCTTACGGCTTGTTGTTGATAGTCAGGCAACAGATCAGCAAAAACCTTTTCCTCAGAGTGCAAGGACAAAATGTGTTAAGCCTTCATTTTCAGATACTGATTGTCCAGATAAAGGCAATGCAAAATGGAATGAACTATTCATCTTTGAGGTTCCTTGGAAGGCATGTATTACATTCTAATACTTTTGTTTTCTTCATCTCTTTGCTTTTCTTTTATTCTGTGATCAAGTCAGCAAACTTAGTTTGTGAATTATCTGTCATAATGGTTAACTGGAGAGACATGGTTCAAATGCAGTTTAAGTGGATTTAGGGAAAAAATGAGAACTTAAATATATTAACTTTATCCTGTAACAATCAAAATTAAGCCATAAAAGTAAGTGTGAAAAAAACAAAAAAAACTTGCTCTTCTTAGTTAATCAATTCTCATAAAATGCTATAGTTTGGATGTCAATCCAGGGATAAGTTTTTGGCATTACTGTTGCTCCTAATTCTTGATTCATATTTGTTTTTCTGTTCTGCAACTCAATTTTAGCCTTTTCTTATTAATTGTATCTACATGGAGTGAGCAGGGATTGAGCTAAAGATATCTCTAGCGTAGTAGTAAGAAAAGACAACTTAACAATATGGTGAAGAAGAATTGGTGTAATAAGACTAAGTTGAGATGAATAGAGTAAAAATAGGTTTCTGGTTAGCATTAAGTTCAGTTTATCTGTTCCATATGTATGCAAAGTTATGGTGCATCTCTTTTTCATCATCTGACATGCCTGCCCTTATATATCAACTAATCTAATGTAAATAATTTGATCTGGCTGAATCAATAAAGCATCATACTATAGTTGTTGGTTTCATGTTATTATGGCACTCCCTTTTCTTTTTCCAGAATTTATTTGCCTCATTAGGTCCAGGTACAGAATGTTGCTAAAAACTTACGTGGAAACATGTTGTGATTGAAATATAATGTTTTCACATATTTATTTTCTTTCTTGTGTACTTTTATGATAGTGTACAAAGTTTCTGTTTTTGCTGTTCCAGGGAGGGGCTAAGTTAGAAGTGGAGGTAACAAACTTGGCAGCAAAAGCTGGAAAAGGTATGTTTTGTCAGCATATCCTTTGACTTCAAATGTTTTCTTTTCTTGAGAAAACATTGATATCATACATTTTTCTGGTTTCTATGGCTTGGGCATTGGATCTGTCTGGTGCTTATTAATTATGAATAAATTTCCTTTGCTGAAAAAAGAGAGTTTGATAATTGATGCTCTTGTTTTATATTGTCCATAGAAATTTCTATAAATGTTTTTAGGGTGATGCTATAGGGACCAATTGGTCCCCAAGCCGATTGGTCCCTATGGCTATTTTGTTTTGTTTTTTCTTTAGATATAATAACTTTTAATTTTTATTTTTATGTCTAGTGATTTTAATTTTTAAGTTAGTGAATCTTAAATTTAAATATTAAACCTTAAAACCTAATAATATAAACCCTAACCCTAAACATCTAAACCCTAACACTTAAATTCTAAACCCTAATGTGCATCTTAAATTCTAAACTCTGAAAATTTTAACCCTAACACCCTAAATACTAGTAAACGGCAATGCTATCACATAAGATTGTAAATTTACAGTCATGATGTGTCATTAAATGAGTATGACTTGTTATTAAATAAGTGGATGCATACAATATCACGGGTGGACCTTTGAATGAAAAGAGCCAATTATATAACAATACATCATATTGTAAGTTTACAATACTGCATGGCATTGTAACTATATCATTTTCATACTA